AAAAGACTTTTAGAATTCTTTACTAGATTAAGCAAATCCGGAACCGCTTCTATTAATACTAGAGGATAGCAAATAAGAATATAGTATTAAATAGGTTATTATAGTTAAGCTAGTAAGAAATAGGCTAAAGTATAGAATCTAGTAGGTTAGTTAGAATAAAGGTCCAGTATAGTATCTAGCTTTAGTACTAAGTAATAGCTTCCTGGTTTTATAAAGTTTCTATAATAATAATATTAATATATTAGGATTTCTATAAAACTTATAATATTAGCTAGATTATATAAAAAATAATATTTATTTAGAACTATACAGAAATAATAATAAATCCTCCTAGATTATATAGTAAAGGCATTTGTAACAGCGGGATCGAGGCAATGGTACAAAGGCTCAAAGATCCAGGAAAATCCCATATATTGAGAATACTAAGCTAAGGAGAAGAAGGAGAGAGAGAAGGAAAGAGGATAAAAGGAGGGAAATACTAGCTAAAACTACTGAAACGCCGGCTAGCTAGATGAAACCAGTTATATAATAGCCACCCCCCTTTGGCCCCCAGCCAGCGCCGTTATATTACCCCCCCGGAAACCAAATCTGAATGCCCTTATTCAGGTATATAAAGGAAATAGGGTTTTGACAAAACCCCCAAAACGGCCAGCTTTTAATAGTTACTATCTGACTAATAGCTAACTCTACCTTCACCTGAGGCTCCAGAACTAGCCTCAGACCCAAAATCGTCTACAGAACCCAAATCATCCCCAGAATCGTCCGCAAAACTATCTACAGAACCGTCCAAAGAACCAAGCTCGTCCAGGGAACTATCTATAGAATCGTCTGCAGAGCCCGAATTATCTACAGAGTCCAAATCGTCCCCAGAACTATCCGCAGAACCGTCCAAATCGTCTATAGAACCGGAACTAGCCTCCGTATCCGATTCAAACTCGGCTCCAGAGCTAGCTTCGCTAGGATCTTGTCGGCTCTCGGTCTCCTCAGACGATAAATCGTTAGCAGGAGGACATCGTAAATAAGCTTCTGGGATAGGATTATCCGAATCGTCCGAATCGGAGGAGTAGTAGTATCGTACGAGGGGCGGCCGTACGAGAGGCGAACGAGGAGGAGGCGAACGAGGAGGAGGCGAACGAGGAGGAGGCAAACGAGGAAGGGGCGATTAAGGGAGGGGTAATCGCAGAAGGGGCGATCGTAAGACAGTTGCTTCTGTTTTAAATCGGCGAACTGGAACCGATTGCCGGGTTTCTTCCGTTTTAAATCGGGAACCCGAAACCGATTGGCGTGTCTCTTGTTTTAAATCGGAGGATCGCCGATTCTTGGAGGGGGGTACCGGTTCTTTTGCTCTCGTCGATATCGAGGAAGGTATACCGTCTGCTCTAGTTGAGGGCCAGACTCCGAGGTCAACTGGGTCGTAGAGGGCAAGGGCGTCGTCTGCTCTAGTCAAGGGCCGAACTCCGAGGTTGACTAGGTCGTAGAGGACAGGAGTCTTTCTTCTTTTAAGTCGGCAGAGGACCGACTATCAGGTTATCGTCTGCTCTAGTCAAGGGCCAAACTCCGAGGTTGACTAGGTCGTAGAGGACAAGGGACGTCGTCTGCTCTAGTTAAGGGCCAGGCTCCGAGGTCAACTGGGTCTTGGAGAATATATCTTTCTTCTTTGAGTTCGGGAGAATTACCGAACGTCAGGAGCGGAATTCTGTCTTCGCTCCCTAAGGACAAGTACGGGTCCTTTGCCGGCAGTATTATGTCGCCTCTACAGGCCGAGTCGAGTAAGCTTAGTATTATGTAACGGCGGGATCGAGGCAATAGTACAAAGGCTCAAAGATCCAGGAAAATCCCATGTATTGAGAATACTAAGCTAAGGAGAAGAAGGAGAGAGAGAAGGAAAGGGAATAAAAGGAGGGAAATACTAGCTAAAACCACTGAAACACCGGCTAGCTAGGTGAAACCAGTCATGTAATAGCCACCCCCCTTTGGCCCCCAGCCAGTGCCGTTACAGCACTAGTCTTTTATATATAATATCTATATCCGAGATACTAGTTTTACTTTAGAAAGAAGTATAATACGAAATTAGATAGATTAATAGCTTTTATAAAGCTCGGAGACGAGCTTATTATAAAGAAAGAAGTAATATTATAATTTCCAGATATCCGGTATCTGAGATATCTTACTAGATACTAGATGCCTCCTAGATATATATAATACAGCCGCCTTACTAGGGAAATATACTTGGAATATACTAGAGATATTTAGAAGTTTAAGCCTCTTTGGAACTAGTATATTATAGGATATATATATTTCCTTATAGCCTCCTATATTCTAGTTTTCTCTTTCTTAGCTTTAAATTATCTTTATAAGAGACCTTCTATCTTGCTTTCCAAGTCCTAAATACCGTACCCGTAATAGTTTTCGCTTATTATCTAATATATAAAGAAAAGAGAAATAAGGTTATTTATAAGAGTATTAGTTATAGAAATAATAGGAGCAGGAGTAATAGAAATAGCTAGAAAGCTCTTAATAGAAGTAAAGTAGGAATCTAAATAATATTTCTTTCTTTTATTTATTTCTACTAGTAAGGCTTTAAAAGTATTATTCTCTAGTTTGTTTTTACTACTTTTATTATTTTCTTTTCCTTTAATTTCGGTAATATACTATATATAGATATTACTAAAGCATTTATTAAAATTATAAGAGTTTCGGAATCTAAATTAGTAAATGTTTCTATCCTTGAATTAAGCCTTCTTAGCTTCTTATTCCTCTGGTATATACTTCTATAAATAGTATTCGGGTCTCTTATATATAAAACACGACTTCGGAGTATAATTATTATAATTACGGGACTTGAAATAGTTATTATAGGTACCAAAGTTGCGGCTTAGTCTATATTAATAATTTCCGGACGAATAGTAGCTTAAAGGGTTTTAAAAACAGTATTATTAATTAGTAAAGAGGATCTCGGTATTAATCTATTATTTCTTCTTATAGGTAGTAATAAATAATTAGAGCTTATTAATAAGTTAGCCGAAATTAGAAAGAGAATCCGAGACTATATATTAGTATACTAGTATACCTTAATAGGAGATAATAATTTTATTATATAGGAATTCGGTATTTTATAAGGCAGGTACTAGTCTATATTGCAATTTATATAAGTCATTAATTAGTAATTAGACAAGCTCAAATACTGTCTTTTCGGGGTATTAAGCTATTGTAATTACTATTATAGTAGCGTTCTATTTGTCTAAGTTTCGATATTAGAAACTAGGGCCTTTAAAGAAGCTGCAAATATTCATACAGGCCTCTTTATATATACGTTAAGAGAGCTAGTTATTATAAAAGTGATCTTGTACTAGTTCCTTTAATATAGTAGGGAAAGCTTTTACTAATGCCTCTTATAGAAGCTCTATATATTGGCAGATATCGAGGAAGATGGCGAGTTTTTGGTCGAAACTGCCATTAGTTCTATTATACTTCTGTGCCTCGGTATATATCTTTGCTATTTCTCCAATTAGCTTTGCAGTGAGAGGGCCATTTAAAGGGCCATTTGAGGGTAGTAGAGGTAGTAGGAGATTGTCAGTTTTGGCTCTCTGCGGTCCGGTACTAGCAGGAGCGGTTACAGATAGCAAAGGGATAGCAGGTAGCAAAGGGGTATAAGCAATAATTAGTTTAATATATCGATTTCTTGCAATACCATTATTCAGGGATATATATAATGAGGTAATAGGGCCCGCCTTAAGGTCTTGTCTAGCGGCAATAATATTATTAGTAGTCCAGACGTATTGTTCTTCTCTCTGAATAGCGTCGACTAAGGACTATATAATAGTAAAGCGACCATGGTTATATTCGATATAAATACCACCGTATTGCAAAGCAGCTCGTAATTAACGTAGTACGTATTGATCTAGTCGATTAAATGTCTCGAGGTCAAAGTTACTGAAATCCTCCTTGAATAATTCCCAGAGGTCCTTATCAGTTGACTTCTCTACCTTGTACTGGAACAATCTGGTATTGAGGTAATCCAGGATTTCCTTGTGGTCAGAGCTAGCCAGGTCTATACCGTCCTTCCATTTCTTTATCTGCTCGTATCCATCCCAAAGGTTCGCCATCCCGAACCCTTAGGGTTAAGCCCTCCCCGGTATATATGTGTGGTTCGTAGCGAGAGGGGCAGTCAATGGTACAAGACAATTATTAGCACCAAAGAATCAATGGCACTATCAAATTACTAGTACAAATAATTTGCTAGTACTAAAGTACTGTTGGTTCTATGAAATGGTTAGTGCAAACGCGTAGTTAGTACAAAGGAACCATTCGTGCTATTAGATCAATGGTACTATCAAAATACTGGTGCAAGAAATTTATTGGTACTAAAGAATCACTTGTACTATCAAATTGTTAGTGCAAGTAATTTGTTGGCACTAATCACTTACTAGTACCATTCAGTTTATAGTACAAACAATTTGTTAGTACTATAAACAGAATGGTGCAAGCAAATAGTTAGTGCAAACGAATTGTTAGTACCATAAACTGAATGGTGCAAGTAAAAGGTTGGTGCAAGAAAATGGTTGGTGCAAACGAATTGTTCGTACAAGTGGACATGACCAGTAGAATAATGCTCCCTCGTTATCTAGGTGGTTATGTACCACCTCAGTGGCCACCTCAGTGACCCACTAGTAGTGGGTCTTGGAACGGCCCACATATAGAGGGGTGGCCTTGGCTTGGTCCCTATCCCCCTGTCGCCAATGCCAAGGCCACTGCACTCCATCTAGGTTTTCTCTTTAAACACGTCCGCCATGGAGAAAGATACCGACAGGAATCCACACTTGCAGTACAGGCCAATTTCAAAGTCTTCTCGAAGCCTGGATATGTACGTCACACGTTCTAATAGAAACAGCTCACCTTGGAATGTAGATAGAATATCCAACCCTCGTCAGCGGAACTATTGCTAGGAGAAATTACTCCTCATCAGAAGGACCCCTTAATTCAATCTAAATATCTACGCTTCTTGCTTGAGCCCTCTACACCAGAATCCGAAGTTGCTCGAAGTTTTAGTTATCAAGTTCTGCCTTCAAACTGTCCTTTTGCGCTTTGATATTCGCATATGATCGCTCCACCTCACGTATGTCTCTTTTCAAACCATCATTTTTAACTAAAATATGTTAACGGGACGAGCAAATCCAATGAGTATACTAGAGCTCACATTCCAGCCTACTCTTGGCCTCTGGATTGTGTTAGCGCCAATTTGATTAGATTGCCAGATAGGCTCGGCTTCCATACCTTTAAGCAATTCAACTTCCCTCTGGAGCGAGTCTATGCGAGCTTTGTATCTTGTTATCTAGGGGACACAGGGTCAGTGGGTAGTTGACTTGCCTTCTGTCTGTCGTTCTCCAGCTTGAAGTTGGCTATTCTTTGCTTGGAGCTCACCAACGAATTCTAAGGTAGGAAGTGAGCCGCGGGATAACCAATTAAAGAAAATACTGACGAATCAAAGTTCGCGATATGATAGGCAGAAGCCTCAGAGTTTCCTGCGGAATTCTGGCACTAGAGCCAGAAGAATTGGCTGCTGCCATTGTTCGAAACATAGTATAGATTTCCCTTGAGTCAGCAGGATTCAGCGTAACAGATTCACAACACTTACCACGAAGCAGAGTGAATCGGCCATCTTCTCCAATATATGAAGCTTGTGCCGAGTCCTGTGTGACGATCAGGAATATGAGTAGTGAGTCGAATGCATCACTTACCAGATCAGTAGCGATTTGGAACCCGCCGCCTGGAGGTATAGACCCCCCCCCCCATACGGTGCATACTATTACTAAACACGGTTATTGCCTTTCTCTAGGTGCCTTCTATAACAAGATCGACTCACTTATTCTGGGGAGGTGACACACTTTGCTTTGTTTCTGGCGTAGCCTCTACAACGGGAGAGATTGCCTCAGCGGGATTCTGACTTGTTAGCATATGTTTTTCTAGCTTGCATTGTCCCTAACTCACGTAGAAACGAGCACCATCTGAAATAAGTGCTGCCTCATTTAGAGGTGGTGCGCTCATCTTGTTGGGCGACAAAGTGGTGGCCAGTGCAGTGGCTGCAGTTGTTGTAATGATTGTGGTGATTATATCGGTAATGCGTGTGGGGTGTTGGAAAGGAGACCTAGCTGGGAGCGGGGGGGGGCTCTTTGTACTTTCAACGTGCTTAGATTGACAGTGCAAAGTCTGCCTCGTCGTTTGAGGGAGTGCTCATCCGTCTAACGCCTCCTCATTCTCGCATTCCTGGTCGCCTGACTACTGATTCTTGTAGATCGTGGCCAAGTGCGAATAAGACGTCGATATTGCCCCTCTCCTCCGCCGAATCTGCCTCGTTCGTACTTCTTGATTGAATCGGGGGGTGAGAATGTCGCATGTCTCCAGTCTCCGCCCATCGTACTACTTGTTCCATGTCATCACATGCAGGATGCATCGAGAAGCAAAGCCGATGCACATCCATCATAGCTGATTGCGCCCCACCAGCTCCTCCTCCTACTGAAAGTGCTGTGGTAATCTGCAGTCACACCCAGGCATACAACACCTTTAGCAATGTGGAAGCAGGAGCAGGGCTGATGCGCTAGAGCATCTCTCCTGCTCGTGGTGCCCACCGTCATTGTTCGTTCCGTCGTTCCCTACGTCCCTCCTTGTCCCTTTTTTCGAATCACCACACGTAACTCGAATATTGTGGCAGTTGTGGTCTGTATCTGGGACAGCTGAACCAGTGCTGAAAGGTAATCATGGATAAAGTTAACTGTTCTCCTCTCAACCGATCCGCATGCTCCAATCCTTCCCACGCTCTCCCGAGCTAGCCTAGTGTTTGATGGCCATTTTATGACAATGGTGCAACGCAATAGCCCACTTGGCTGCCTAAGTTGGGCGCAAGTATAGAAAGGTCGCACTGCCAAAAATAACTTGTTCTCTGGACGTTTGATCACGTGGACGACCCCCCTTTCAAAGTTCGGCTAATTTTTCACCTGGAGTTTTCCTGGGTTCTACTCGAAGTCCCTTGAAGGCAATTTGGGTACGGGATAGGCTGGGATCGACTCCTGTTGCATTTCACAAACACTTTTGCTGGTGAGAACCTATAACTTGACAGTACCGGGGCATATGCATAGAGTACCTATGTACGCTCATGAGCGGCTGCTGTATCCCAATGGCCTAGGAAGCTGGGGACCGAATTCGATATACCTCGTATCACGTCGAATGCTAGCTGATGGTATATACTGGGATGTCGTCCAAGGCAGATTTAACGAAAGCAACAAGATCGCCCTGACCAAGTGGCAATGTGGGCGGTGGCCAACATGTCCATCTGTGACCCCCCATACACCAATACGAGCGATTTCCCAATCGGGGCCCCCGATTAGGGAATCGGACGCTACGATTAGGGAATGGGAGCTTCTTTACGAATCGGGCGTCCGATTAGGGAATCAGGGGCCCGATTGCCCAATCGGGTAATATTTGGGTATCGGGAATAACAAAATGAGGATATATTAAAGACACTTCACCCATACTAAGCTTTACTGGCCATGCCTCCTACTACGTCTAGGTGCTCCCATAGCTACCTTAGCCCTTTTTGGTGCCCTCCCCTCCACTTGATCACCTGATTCTCCTCCTCCAGCTCCATCCTCACGTGCTTGCTCAGTAGCTACTCTCTTCTTTGCTCTCTCAGATACCCTTCCAGCCTTCTGAACTAACGAGATTAATCCACGGCTATTTTCCAAGGCAACTGCCTTTGGTAAGGTAATCTTATCCTTTTTGTAAACTGCCCCAGTAATAGGTAATTCAGAATAAGTTAATTGGGAGGTAACTTTATTGAGGGTACCATGCGGCCAGAGAGTGGTAAGTTTACTATATTTGGTAGTAAGCCGGTATTCCTATATTTATTAGCTTTAGTAAGTATATTTATATAGGGTATATACCTTTAAAGTTTTCTCCAGAACTCTTACTAGTATCCTTGCCATCTCCGTACTAAATCGATACTGTTTTGGTATCTGAAGCATTATAATCTCTTAATCGGCATACTCAAGAGCCTTGGAATTTGCCTTCTTTACTATCTTCTCTTACTGCTTCCTTATATGCTCCGCAACCCTCTTGGTTAGTTCAGATAAAATCATCTCCTCTGCCGCTTCCTCCAGTTCAGCTTCCTGATTAACAAATAAGCTATTCTTATTCTCTTTATTTTCCTCTCCTTTAGTAACCTCAATTATAGACGATTCTCTAGAAGTACCACTCTCATTCCCCCCCCCCTAGTACTATATATATACGCCGAGTATTCCCTTTATAATCTTGAAAATTAGTAGGTAGCTTTCGTCCAAACCATATCTTATATGGCGTATTACCCTTAGGTAAAGCAGAGATAGGAGTGGTATTAATAACCCATATAATTAATGGAAGTAATTACATTTATAATTAAATACTAGTATCCGCTTGTATAGCTCGCAGGCGCCTTTTAAATATGCGATTAGCAATCTCAATAGAGCCTTGTAATTAAGGATAGTAAGCTCGTCTACGGATAATCTTTATCCCTCTTTGCTTATAAACCTCAATGACTTTGCCTTTAAACTCTCTTCCATTATTACAGGCTAGGATAGAGATATACCCATTATTATTTAGCTATTTAATAAGCTCGTCCGCAGCTTTATCTGTAGTTTTAGCCTTGAGCCTACGGATCCAAATGAACTTGGAAAAGTGGCATTTCAATTACCAAATCCACGTATATTCTCCGTCCAAATCATACTATAATAGTATTAATAAAGTATGGATAAAAAGGTTCGGAATTTGCGAAATTTGCGAAAATCGCGAAAATCGCAGGAAAAGCTCAAAAACGCAGGAAATATAGGAAATGCAGGAAATGAAGGAATATAGGGGTAAATTATATGACTTAAGGGATACTTATACGGAAATCTATTAAATCCAGAACCATACACTGGCCTAGATAATAAGATTGGATAGGCTATACTCCCGTATTATTCTTTTGAGCCTTCTCTTTATTATAGTAAGCGTATCGTACACTTATCTATACATAATCGTTACGGGATGGGCCATACCAAATTTTCCGTATATACTCAAATATAGTATTAGAGCCTATTTTTTAATTAGTATAAAAATTAGTAGCTTTTAGAGGGTACTAACCAGGGTATATTAATTTCTCATGGATAGTAGTAAGAATCTCAAAAGCGTTATTATAGCAAACGGTATACCGGGCGGGAACAAGCTCTCTACGTCGATTATCGTGGTGTTCCTTGCGATATACCTGGCTGTCCTGAAGCTTATAGAGAAGGGAATCGTACTTAATATTAGCCTAGTAGCGTTTCTCTGCCTTGGTTCCGCTAGGAAGCGGAGTATTAGGATTTTGCAACCACTATCTAATATCTATACGTTTCCTAGCAGTAAGAATTTTCTTACTACCCCCCTTAGCAAGCCTCTGATCCCATACAGCTTTGTCTTCAGCAGACCAATTATCAGTAGGCTCTTCAGTAATAGGGGAGGGTAAAAACTGGGTGCCGGAAGAACGAGCCCCTGGAGCAGTAATATCAAAATATTGCTCTGCTCTCCCATAAGTACGCTGACGAGGCGTACGTGGGGATGGGAATGAACGAAGGGTTGAAAGAGACATATTAGAAGTAAGGTAATTAATTGAGAGGTATATAAAATCAGTGGTTGTGCTTGGAAAGTTGGTGCTTGTACTGTGAACTGTATCTAGGTAGTAAGGGAGCAGAGGCCCCATACATATTTGGGAGCTCTGGAGAAGTGTCTTTACCCCTATTATTACCTCCTTTAATATCTTAAATTAATAAATTAAACTATAACCTATAGAATCAAGATATGAGGTGTGGTGGAGTAAAGAATATAGGGCTGAATGAGCTAGTAAATAAGGGGAATTCAGCTCCTTCAGGCCCGATACCCAAATATCGAGCGATTGGGAATCGGGGGCCCGATTCGTAAAGAAGCTCCCATTCCCTAATCGTAGCGTCCGATTCCCTAATCGGGGGCCCCGAATGGGAAATCGCTCGTATTGGTATATGGGGGGTCACACATCGGCAGCTGCTTGCGAGGACATTTGGTGCAGACAACTCAGGCTATCCAAGAGGATTCAACCTCACCGGGGGGGTAGTATGCCGACAGTGTAAACAATGAATAGAGTAGAGTAGAGTAGTGGCCCCTACTCATATTCTATTCATCAAAAATTCCCACTACTTATATTCTACTTATATTCTAATCAAGCTATTCATGAATATTCATAAATACTTTGAGTAGTGTACACGTGATGTGCGTACGTGACGAGCTAGCCTTATTAGGCAAAGCCCCGGGCACTCCCGCTCTAGCGCCACCTCGCCACCCAATCAAGTAGTAGCGGCGCTTAGTAAGCGAGCCGAACCTCTATAATACTTCTAGAATTACCTCGACTTAAGAACTTAATAATAATAGCAATCCTATTAGTAAAAATCAGAGACTAGGGAACTAGAATCTTTGAAATAAGGAGATTCTTTCTAATTAGAAAGATAATTAAGAAGCCCTTAAAATATTAGAACTTTCTAATTCTAATAAAGACGGCTTAGATATATATATTACTAATAAGTCTTCTAATATAGAAAAAAAAAAGAAAATAGGAAAGTAAGTAAAATATTCTTAAATTCTATTAAATAATTATCTAATATTTTCTAAATATTTTTATATATATTAATACTAATATATATATAGTTTAAACCTTTAGATTATTAGAAGTCTAATATAGTCAGTCCGATCCAAAAGCGACAAAAAAAAAAAAAAACCACTATAATACTAATTAATATAAATTGTATTAATTAAAACTATACTATATACTATAGGAATTAATTCTATGTTCTCAAAATTATAATATCTTTATTATTAAGGAAGTTATAATGCACGTGATTAAGCGAGCAAATATATTGGCGTTTTGTATGGTCGTTTTTTTACTTTGGTTGTCACGTGACTGCCCCCCTAAGTTGACCGCTCTTCCATAATTATATTAATACCTCAACAACCACAAACCCAATCAAGTGCCCCTTTTGCATACTTCCAATGGCTACCTCTGTGAGGCTTCAGAAACGCAAGCGAGCTGATTCGACTCTTGATTCAATTACAGTTCTCACCATAGCTAAAGAAGCTGCAATCCAAGCTATTGAAATTGGTACGCTACCATAGCTAGCTCACCAGTCCTTCCAGCACCAGGTTCAACCACTAATTTAGGGTTC